CAAATGGCTACTAAAAAGACTGGACATACCCCATTTGCAATACCTTGGGTTGTCTACTATTGCAAATGGTATGCCATTATGGGTGTAAATTTCATTCCTGGGCTACTATACAGTCTCAAAGGCAACGTAACCAATCTGGCGAATTTCAATTTCAAATGTAACGTGCTATATTTGACCCTGTAACTTCCCAAAACGCCATAAAACCTGTACATAGGGGGTACTGTTTTACACGTGAGACTTTGCTGAATACAAATATGTGTATTTTATTGCAGTAAAAGCAAACAGTATTATGACACTGACCGTTTAAATGTCATGTAGAACTAAAAAAATCCAATAAAATCGTATTTTCTCCCATTTTTTTCATATTAAATTATGTTTCATAGCTAAATATTTGATATTAAATGAAAGCCCTGTTTCCCCTGAATAAAATGATATATAATAAGGGTGGGTGCATTTACTATGAAAGAGGTGTATTACGGTTGGACAGACATGTAGCGCAAATGCCAGGTTTTGTTTACATTTTGTTTCGTTCACAACGTGTACATTTGGCTCCGTCCTTAAGGGGTTAAGGATAAAATGCTATTCAGTTTGCTCAATAAAGTGTCTTTTTATTGGATTTTTTTACCTTGTTTGTATAGGCTTTTCAGAGGATTTGATATAAAAATAATTTAATCTTTTGAAAAATATTTTAATAATTTTTGATATATTGCTTTTTTACATTTGTTAAACATAATTTTAAAAATGTATCCAAATATATGCAATCCTTAGAAAAGTTTATACAAAAATATGAAATCAAGGCCATGGTTGGGAGGGAATATGTTAATATTCTGCATGACATTGTGCTATGAAAAGTTTTGGAAATAGCCTCTCATCTGCAATTTACTCTCTGTGGTGGACGTGGAAATGACTTTATCACAAAAAGGTCAGAATGTGACAAATGAATTTCCACACTTTGCAATCCAAATGCACCAAAATTCAAATCAAATCTGAAATAATGCTCTCACATGAGCTTGTGAGAGGCTGAAAATAATAGGTTTCTCTGATTTGTCCTAAGTAGATCAGGTATTTTATCCTTCCTTTTCCATTTTTATTTAGCTGTACAACATTTTTCCATCTTTGGTTCGCTTGTTACCAGGAAGTCACAATATATTTTCTGAAAATATCCAGAAATTGATTACTTTTATTAAAGAAACATTTGCAAAACACAAGGATCAACTGGACATAAACGACCAAAGAAATCTCATTGATGCATATCTTGTCAAGCAACAAGAGGTAACCACAGAAATTTTTTTGTCAATCAATATGTTATTTAGGCATAAGATATAAACACAAAGCATCACAGTGGTGACAACACCACTTCCGAACAATCATAAAACAGCTGCTAGAACAGTACAATTCACATATAAAAAATATAGAGGTCCTCTACTCCTCTTTCCCTTCGTTGACCCATAATAACATGTCTACATCACCCTTACTTATTACCAGGGAGTTCTCCTGAATCACACTATGTTCCACAAACTACACCCTTTCTCTGTTAAAAAAAAAAATAATAATTGTGAAATGAATATATCACACACATTCATTGTGGATATATGGCATTCATTTTCTGCTCATTAAAAAGGCTTGTAATTAAATACATTAAATGAACCAAAACAGTTCTGAGTACCTTGGCTAATAGTTTTTGATTTCTTCAGGACATTGATTTTTTTGCTAGTCTGCTGCAATTCTCATTGCAATTCAATGTAATTTTCAACTGAAGCAACTGTAAACATATTGAAAAGTCATATTTAGAAACAATCTGCAATCAAACAGCATTTAGACTATAGCCAGTTTGCTATTGTTCTTATTTTGTTTTAATACAAATCGGTTTTATTTGATGACTCTCTCTGCAGTTTTGTAAATCAACCAAATTTGCTTGTATTAACAGCCTTATGCATTATCAGTGTGCGTAACTGCATAGTTCTTTTTTTTTTTTTACCAGATTGTTTTTCCTTTTTATTTTACGATTCAGGAAAAACCCAAAGGATTATTTTTCCATGATGATAATTTAACAGCTCTTGTGAGCAATTTATTTGCAGCAGGAACGGAAACGACATCCACGACCCTTCGATGGGGCATTCTGCTAATGATGAAATATCCAGAGATCCAAAGTAAGGCATCATGTGTAGGAGACATGATCGGTTTTGTAACATATCAAATTGGCCACACTACACTTCAAAATAATGTAACTGATTAACTCAGCATGTTTGTGAATTCAAGGAGCTCTGTTGGGTTTTCTTAAAAATATTATACATATATATTAGACAGACAGACAGATAAACGCTCACCTCCAAGACTTTTTCAGGGCTGCACCTCTTCTGTGGAACTCCCTTCCCTTCTCCGTAAGAATTTCACCCAGTCTCCACTCATTCAAAAAAATCATTGAAAAATCACTTCTTCAAGAAAGCATACCAATTAAACTGTTAGCAGGTTTTCATCCCCCACCCTCCATGACTCCTCTCCTGCAACTGTCAAAAATTACCTTCTAAGCCCTCAATGAATACTTTTCTAACAACCTACTTCGTACCCCTACTTTTACCCTCTGTGTCATTATACCCCACTCCCTCTAGAATATAAGCTCATTGAGCAGGGCCCTTCCCCTTTCTGTTCCTGTACATCCAGTGACAATTGCATGTATGTTAGTCCACCCATTGTACAGTGCTACAGAATTTGATGGCACTATATAAATAATAAAATAATAATATTAAAATAGAAGAAAAATACGAAGAGAGCGCATATAATAGAAACCTGTGTCTTTACTAATTTACTGCCTAACTAGACAACCTCTCCTTCATATTGGAAATAGAGATTAGCAAAATACTAAACTTGAACCCAAGGTACAACCAAATTTCAGGAGCTGTAACAAAACAAAGAATTTTCCCAATTCTATACTTTAGATGCTAAATAATATTGTCAGCGCTTAGAAGATAGTCCCCTTAAAATGTATCAAGGGTACACACAATATAACAGTGTAAATCTTACAAAAATTTCCAAAGTCTATTCCATTCACATATAAGTTCCTTTGGGGGAAAGTCCAAATAATTACTGTTGCAGTTGAGGACCCAATAGTATACTGGAAATTCCTTAAGGCAAAGAGAGACAAAATATAGTGTAACTCTAAAACATTTATTGCCCCAGTACAAAAATTCCCCCCCAAAATAGGAACTCTTACAAAATTAAAATGTGGTACTTATCACTAAGGACCATGAAAATGGCTCTTATAGCTGCTTGTTCTATTCAGGTCCCCAGAGGAATGCCCAGTTCTCCAGAGGAGACAGCGTCTGCGTAGTGCACAAAGGCAGGCTGTCAGAAGATTTTCGAGTGGAAGAACGCTTGGAGTAAATCGGGCTATTTCCTGGAACTTGGTCAACAAATGTGTGCAGCAGAGCTCAGCCACTAGCACCTTTCAACGCGTTTCGCCCTTCTCCTAAGGGCTTTTTCGAGATAGGTGCTGTGACCGTTGCTTTGCGGTTTTATACTTTACCAGGCAAACAGATTACATTTTTTTAAAGGTGTATACACTTTAAAAACAACAATAACCTAAAATAGTTTTGACTGTACTGCTAGCAATACATTTCAACTGGTATACAGAATCACGTTTAGACCTACTGTACAATACCATTATCACATTTATATCACCGTAAACACAAAGTTTCAAAAATGTTAACCATAAAAATACATATAAAGTGCATTTTGTTGACAATACAATATAACATACCTGTAGACCGTTATACCCAATGTTTTGTAGACTTCTTGTATTGTAACCTTAATGTTTACAATATTTTTCCTTTAAGGGCTGTCCTTATCACTGCTATCAGTGCTCGATTATTATTGTGGACACTCCTAATCTCTTACTTGGAAATCTTGATATATTCAATGTTTTTTGCCTCAAAGTTTATCTGACTCTTTTTTTTCTTTCTCTAAACAAACCAGGTTATCTTCCTAATTGTTTTAGCCGGCATAACGTTACTGTATGAAACAAACTTATCTTTCATTGTATTTAATGTCAAATTGTTCCCATTGATACTTTGTATAAAAGTATGAGTACAATTAATTTTCAAGAATCTAGCAGATGGTGGAAACTGTTTAATCTTCCACTTTTCATTTAACGCTTTCGCACAGCGCTCATGCCTCTAGTAGTTTTCTGAGCGGTATCAAAGATAGCCATTGCGGCATACAAACTAAACAGTGATTTTCCTACATCCATGTAGTTTAATTGTAACGATAGTTCATGTTCCCTCCCAAGGGAATTTATCTTGTCTATTGAATATAGTTGAGTTCTAATATAGGGTTAATAAAATTCACTGTGGGCTAGATAGATTGATTATATTCATTCTTGAAGGATGACCCCCACCTTTGAGAATTAATTGTCAGCTTCCAAATATTGATAGATGTAGATGTTCCCTCTCCTATTTCATTATAGGAAATACCAGAGAGAAATTAAGAAAAAAGAAAAATACTAAAAAAGAAAGGAATAACAGTATCAAAAACAAGAAAGCCTGTTCTTACAGCAAGAGCTCACTTACAGGTACTTCACCTATCACTCCCACTACCCTTAACCCTGCAAGTGTGATTATTGCAGTTTTCATAAACTGCAATATTTACCTTGAAGGGTTAAGTCCTCCTCTAGTGGCTGTCTACACAAGTGGCTGTTATAACGTCGCTGGACGTCCTCACGCTATGTGAGGACCTCCTGCGTCGCTGAAATCCCCATAGGAAAGCATTGAAAGCCCCCAGTGATTACATCACAGAGCTGGGAGAAAGTGACTGCACATCACTCCTCCCAGCTAACACACAGACCGCGCGGGAGGAAGCAGAGGGAGTCAGAGTGAGAACTCTGACTCCCATCCACCTGAGCCACCACTGGACCCCATGGAATGTCACCCTCCTGCACCTAAAAGGTAGGAAACAGGAGGGTGACTAAAATATTTTGTGTGTGTTTGTGCATGTGTCTTTGTATGTATGGCTTGTGTGTGTATCTTTGTATGTCTTGTGTGTGTCTGTCTGTATGTGTATGTATGTGTCTTTGTATGTGTGTCTTGTGTGTGTGTGTGTGTCTGTATATATGTCTTGTGTGTGTGTGTGTCTGTATATATGTGTGTCTTGTCTTTGTATGTATGTGTTGTGTATATGTCTTTGTGTGTATGTGTGTCTTATGTATGTGTCTTTGTATGTGTGTCTATGTATGTTGTGTGTGTGCGTGTCTGTGTGTCTGTATGTATGTGTGCCTGTCTGTTTGTATGTATGTGTCTTGTATGTGTGTGTGTGTGTGTGTGTCTGTATGTATGTGTGCCTGTCTGTTTGTATGTATGTGTCTTGTGTGTCTTGTGTGTGTGTGTGTGTGTGTGTGTGTCTGTATGTGTGTCTGTGTTTTTGTGTGTGTGTCTGTATGTGTGTGTCTTGTGTGTGTGTGTTTGTATGTCTTGTGTGTGTCTGTCTGCATGTGTGTGTACGTGTCTTTGTATGTATGTCTTGTGTGTGTGTGTTTGTCTGTATATATGTGTATGTATGTGTTGTGTGTGTATGTCATTGTATGTATGTGTCTTATGTATGTGTCTTTGTATGTGTGTCTTGTGTATGTATGTGTGTATGTGTCTATGTATGTCGTGTGTATCTGTGTGTGTGTGTGTGCATGACTGTGTGAGTGTGTCTGTATGTATGTGTGCCTGTCTGTTTGTATGTATGTGTCTTGTGTATGTGTCTGTCTGTATTTGTGCGTGTGTGTCTGTATGTATGTGTGCCTGTCTGTTTGTATGTATGTGTCTTGTGTGTCTTGTGTGTGTCTGTATGTGTGCCTGTCTGTATGTATGTATGTATGTATGTGTGCCTGTCTGTGTGTCTGTATGTATGTGTCTTTGTAAATGTATCTGTATGTGTCTTTGTATGTGTGTCTTGTGTGTGTGTGTCTGTATGTGTGTGTCTTGTGTGTGTGTGTCTGTATGTGTGCCTGTCTGTGTGTCTGTATGTATGTGTGCCTGTCTGTTTGTATGTCTCTATGTATGCATGTGTGCTTGTCTGTTATAGCGGGCTATGGTAAGTGGGCTACCTTGCTCAGCCTTCCTACTGGGCATTGCTATGAGGAAGGTTAAAAAATAGAAAAAAAGGGGGAAAAAGTGGGGAGGGGAATTGAGGAGGGAGAGGAGATGAGCTGATGCACAGATGAGAAATCATTTTAGTTGTCTGAATATCACCGAAATAGGAGACCTTTGTTTGTTCATTATGAAAATCAAACCAGATCAAATATTTAGTCTTGCAGCATCAACCTCAAGGATCTCATTAATCACTAGTAAAGGTATTTTCAATTTACTTTGTTTTCTCATTAAACTTTATAAAGTTAAAAACATTATAAACATGCATTAAGTAAAATAAAAAGATAAATATACGTACATTTATTTTTTTTAAAACACCCTCCTTTCTACAAAATATTCTTCACTTGCGCGAAAACTGGTGGGCGGTAAGGAAATTTTTTCATCAAGAAAGATGCATTAGTGCAGTGTTTCCCAACCCAGTCCTCAAGGCACACCTACCATTCCAGGATTTAGGGATTACCCAGTTGTGTCTTAGGTGTTTTTTCTAAGGTGTTTTTTTTTCTTCTTTGTAAAAACACCTTAGACACAACTGGGTAATCCCTAAATCCTGGACTGGTAGGTGTGCCTTGAGGACTGGGTTGGGAAACACTGCATTAGTGAGTGGCAGGTAGAAAAAGGTTGACTACCACTGATCTAATTACTAAAACTGCTTCATTAAACTAAAGTTGTTTAGGTGACTATAGTGCTCCTTTAAAACAAATCTACATAAGCATTCATTGTATGTAATATAATTGCAATTGGTTAATTAATAAAAAAAAGTTATTGACTCCTCAAACCCTAGTCTGAATTTTGGCCCACCCTGTACATTCTATGTCTGAAATTAAATATATACTTAACTATAGTTTATACAAATAAACCTCTATTTTGGTGGTCTTTTTTGGGGGGAAAGAAGTTTGACATAAAATCTGTAAATTCTAGAAACTAGAGTAACCATTTTTTATTAAACATTACATTTATTTTTGTGTGAAGCTTCAGCAGGTGCATGGTTAATAAATACAAGTAAATATATGTATTGATTTTGCAGCTGTATATTCTCAACATCAGTCATTAGAAATGGTTTATTTGAAGTGCAATTTTTATTTACAGAAAATGTCCAAAATGAAATAGATAATGTGATTGGATCTTCTCAGCCTCAAACAGAACACAGAAAGGACATGCCATATACAGATGCTGTCATTCATGAAATTCAGAGGTTTGGTAACATTGTACCTAACAACCTTCCACATGCAACTACTTGTGATGTCACATTTAGAGGCTATTGTATTCCTAAGGTGAGTGAGTACCTTGCATTATATCTATTTTTATATGTTGTGTTTGTGTCATGTAGTCCTTGCTTTATTATATTAACTATAAATACATATAAATAAAACCTTTCACTGTTATTTAATATCATTGACATCTTACATAGTTCTTTTGTCCAAAAGAAAATAAATTTGGAGAGCTATGCAATTACAATAAAAGCCTGTAGCTGCTCACTGTAAAAAACAAAAACAAAGAAAAAACCTATTGCCCCCACCCCTGTGCCATGGGTGGGGGCCATAAAGATAATGAGGGGGAAACCTACTTCACCACCCCCCCCCCGTTCCCCACCCCTGCACGGTGGGTGGGGGTCATAAATTACAATGGGGAAAGACCTACTGTCCTCCCCCACCGGCCCCCACCCCTGGGTGGTGGGTGGGGGCCATAAAGATAATGAGGGGGGCAACCTACTGTCCTCCCCCCAGCCTCTAGGCGGCGGGTGGGGGCCAAAAAGATAGTGCGGGGGACCCACTGTCCTCCCCCCACTGGCCCCCACCCCTTGGGGGTCGGGTGGGGGCCATAAAGATAATGAGGGGGGGCACCTACTGTCCCACGCTGTGTAAAATGACTTCCCCACGCTGTGTAAAATGACAAAAATCAAGCCACTCAATCAGAGTGCTCTGTGTCTTTGGAATTTTCTCACGCTGTGTAAAATGACAAAGAGCACTCTGATTGGCTTAAACCAACCAATCAGAGTGTTCTTAGCCAAATTGCAGGGCAGGGCAAGGCTTTATAAGCCTTGCCCCGCCCTGTAGAGCTCAGTCTGCGTGGAGCCCTCCATGGGTGAAGAAGGATTTTTTATTTAGGGGTTTTTTTTAGGGCTAGGGTTTTTTATTTTATTTTAAGTTCGACGGGTATGATGGTTTTTTTATTTGGCCTTTTTTGGGGATGAAAAAAAGACGTCAGATGGTCAGTTTAATTTTTCTTTACAGGTTAGTTATTTTATTCCCCGCTCACTATTTTTTAGGGTGGGGGGTTAGGTAGGGTGGGGGGTAGGGGCCAATTGTAATTTATGGGCTTTGGGTGGTGGGTGGGGCCCATTGTAATTTATGGCCCCCACCCACTGCTCATGGGTGGGGGCCGGGGGGGAGCACAATAGGTCCCCCCCTTATTGTTATTTAGGGTCCGGATAGTACAGGCTGCTCACTGTTTAGTAGACATGCCCCTACTCACAGTATAGCGAGTAGGGGCATTCGGGAGATTATAATCTCCCTTATGCTATTATTGGGGTCATATTGACCCCCATAGAGTGAGGGAGGACATGGGGGGGGCTTAGGAAGTGACGGGGAGCACTGCTCCCTGACGCTTCTATTGTTACATATTACAAGGAGGGAGAAGCGAGCCGGTAGCTCCCTCCTTGTAATAAACGGAATGAGCAAACGAACACTGATTTTCAGTGTTTGTTTGTTCATCTAAAAATTGTATTTATTCATTCATCTTTCTGACGAATGAATGAATAGATGAAATTCCCGTTCGCATGCCCAAGTGTTTCACTGGGCATGTGCAGGAATCTCAGTGCTATCTAGTGTGGGCAGATGATGTGTCCCACAGGGACTTTATCTACCCACATAAAGATGGCGGCGCCCTGAATATAGATCAGGGCAGAAAATAAAGATTAAAAATAGGTAATATGAGAGGCTTAGGGACATTTGGGGGTGACTAAGGGGTCAATTAGATGTAGTGGAGTCAGGAGGGGGGTTAAAAAAAAAACGGGATTCGGCCATGACAGTGCCGCTTTAAAGTGTTCTAAAAATTCCAACAAGCTACATACATGTATTCCTTACACATGGGGTCCTAGCCAACTACAAGCTAATACTGATAGAAATCCACTATTAAGTGTTATTTTCATAGGCATCTTGATGGGCATATCAGATCCAACTATTTCTCCCTTCTCTCTTACTGGCAGGAGTTTATTTCTGTTTGATGTATGGTATATAGTGCTTAATCTACTTATAGATTGTTGTTTTTTTGTTCTGACAATTGGTTTCATAATGCTAATATTATGCTCAAAATTCTTATGATTCATAGCTTACTCAAACGCTAATCCTTTCTTTTTTGTACTAACTGGTCATTACAATATGTGCTTGAATTAATTTAGGTGTTCTGAAACGTGCCTTAAATCACTAAAAATAAATAAAATAAAATATCCCAGCTAGACACATCTCTGAAATTGATTTTTTTAATGTTTTGTTTGTGATAAAACTTGTAGTTCTTTTTATTTTCAAATGTCTGCAAGTTTCTCATATAGTCAATAAATCATATTGTTTTGCAAAAATTCTAGTAAGAGACATGGGAGGCCACAGGAATTTTTTCAGGGGGGAGGGAGCGTGGGGGTGCATAATTGTAATGACATCCATGCTTTGCCCCTTTTTGACAGGAAAATCACAAAAAGTCATAATCACATAAAGCCAGAATGAATAGCGTTTTCACAACTTTGGTGTCAGGAATATATGCTATGAAAAAATGCTATGATGCCAGGAGGCCCCTGGACGCTAGCTTTCATTTAAGGCATTAAACCACTCTCAAATGGTTTAACCCCAAAGGCTTCCTCCAGGTCACTCAGGGGTATTCAGCTTCTGAAACGGAGTGTCGGGAATTCAGATTGACGTCAGGCATGGGTTCCGCTGATTGACTAGAGTGGTCAGCTGATACTCTAAGCCAATCACTAGTTCCTGATTCATAAAAATGTTATACTTTTTTATAAATGGGGAGCTACTGATTGACTTAGAGTGCCAGCTGACCCCTCTAGACAATCAGCGGCACCCCTAACCAGCAGCACTCTGTGGTTCCTGATATGGAGTAAATAAAAGTGAACACATTAACACTGATATTTTTTTTTTGCCTGGGGAGATGAGAAGGTCCAACATTTCCCAGCCAGGCCAAGGCACCAAAGCCTTACGATGTGTTGTACAGAATTAAGTGGAGGGATCACTTCACTTGTCCTTCCTGCTCCAATCTACTTTTCGTCTTTTCTTCATTTTATACAGTCTTCTTTTTCTTCTGACACTGTTTTCTCTCCTCCTTGTCTCCTTCTGCTCCTTTAACTTTCTGCTACTTTGGTGCTCTTCTGCTCCTTTCTCTTTCTGATCCCTCTCTGATCCTTACAGACCCTTTCTGCTCCTTCTCCTACTTGACCTTTGTGCTCAATCTTCCCCTTCCAGCTCCTTGATGTCCCTTTCTGCTCCTTGCTGTCTCTTTCTGCTCCTTGCTGTCCCTTTCAGCTCCTTGCTGTCTCTTCCTGTTCCTTTGTTCTCCTTCTCCTACTTTACCTTTGTGCTTCTTTTGAGTCTTTCTGTTCCTTCACCTTTGTGCTCCTTCTGTCCCTTTCTGCTCCTGCTGCCCCTTTTCACTCCTTGCAGACCCTTTCTGCTCCTTCTCCTTCTTTACCTTTGTGCGTGTTCTGATTCTTTCTGCTCCTTTAACTTTCTGCTCATTGCAGACCCTTTCTGCTCCTTGCAGACACTTTCTGCTCATTGCATACCCTTCCTGCTTCTTGCTGCCCCTTCTCCTACATTACCTTTGTGCTCCTTCTGGCCCTTCCAGCTCCTTGATGTCCCTTTCTGCTTATTTCTGTTCCTTCTCATTTCTGCTCCTTCTCTTACTTTACCTTTGTGCTTCTTCTCTCCCTTCCAGCTCCTTACTGACTCTTCTCCTACTGTTCCTTCCTGCTGCTTGCTGCCCCATTCTGCACCTTTTTCTCCTTTACCATTGAGACCCTTCCTGCCCCTTCCTGCTCCTTGCTGCCCCTTCCTGCTTCTAGCAGACTCTTCCTGCGTGTTGCTGACCCTTCCTGCATGTTGCTGACCCTTCCTGCTTGTTTATGTTCCTTTCTTCTCCTTCTCCTACTTTATCTTTGTGCTCCTTCTGCCCCTTGCAGACTCTTCCTACCCCTTGCAGACTCTTCCTGTTCCTTGCTGACCCTTCCTGCTAGTTGCTGTTCCTTTCAGCTCCTTGCTGTCTCTTCCTGTTCCTTTGTTCTCCTTCTCCTACTTTACCTTTGTGCTCCTTCTGGTCCTTCCAGCTCCTTGGTGTCCCTTTCTGATCCTTGCTGTCCCTTTCTGATCCTTTATGACCCTTTCTGCTTATTTCTGTTCCTTCTCATTTCTGCTCCTTCTCTTACTTTACCTTTGTGCTTCTTCTCTCCCTTCCAGCTCCTTGCTGACTCTTCTCCAACTCTACCTTTGTGCTCCTTCTGTCCTTTCCTGCTCCTTGCTGCCCCGTTCTGCACCTTTTACTCCTTTACCGTTGAGACCCTTCCTGCCCCTTCCTACTCCTTGCTGCTCCTTACAGACCCTTCCTGCTGCTTGCTGACCCTTCCTGTGTGTTGCTGACCCTTCCTGTGTGTTGCTGACCCTTCTTACTCGTTGCTGACCCTTCCTGCTCATTTATGTTCCTTTCTGCTCCTTCTTCTACTTTACCTTTGTGCTCCTTCTGCCCCTTCAGACCCTTCCTGCTCCTTGCTGCCCCCATCGCTCACTTACCTGATCTGTAGGCTGTCTCTGCAGGCTGAGAGTTGATGGCTGCACTCTGCTGGAGAGAGAAGCCGGGGTAAGATGTAGCTTCCTATCCCTGCCTCTCCATACACACAGCGACACTTAGAGGCCGGCACCGGTATTGCAGTGTATTCTCACTCTTAAACGAAAAATACTGGCACAAGCCAAAAAATCCATTACAAAAAAAATTATTGACTGTTTCTTCTGTTTTTTTTTACTGTTAATTTTTTAGGGAACAGAGGTCTTCCCAATTCTGGCATCTGTCCTGCAAGATAAGGCTTATTTTGAGAGAGCAGAAGAGTTTTATCCTCAGCATTTTCTCGACTTAAAAGGAAATTTTGTGAACAATGAAGCATTTCTCCCATTTTCAGCTGGTAAGACCAACTTGGTAATGGTTTTTCTTAACATGTACATTTGTATATAATGGGATATATTACTTGTATATATAAACAAATATTTTAAGAAATTGTGATATATCTAGCCAATCAGCATTTTTTTTTACAAAGTGGGTATCAACACATAGTACAAACATGGTACATCACAAATGACAATTTGACATTTTTATTTTTCTGCTTTAAATTTTCCTCTAGAAATAAGTCACCATTAGTTAAACAATTTCACAGGACCTCACATAGAAACTTACGTATTCACTAAATAGTTAGAAAATGTGTTCCAGTTTTGGAGACTAAATTCACAGTAAAATTTGAAAGTGGCTCTCATAGCACCACCAAACATTGTTTATTGAATAAACCCTTTTGTCTTTTATGTGATTTTTAAAAGGGCACGTTAAGCACCATAAGTACTGCAGCTCACCGTTGGTGCAAAAAAGATAGAGACTCTATCGCAAAGATTTTGACAAGTCATTTTAGAGTGATTTGACAGAAAACGGGGCTCACTTACACTCAACTTCTCTCCAACCACATTAATAATGCAGAATTTACATTTAAGCACTACCAATATAAATACCATGCAACCAGAATCAATAAACAAAGAGACATGGAAAAAATTAAGGATATGGATGCAGTTGCAGACTTTTCCAAAATGGTTGACAAAAAACGTGGGCTTCCTCCAATATAAGCTCTTCTCCATAACCACTATACTGAGTTGTAGTAGATATGGTACTTATACTGCTTTCAAAATATTTTTTTTTTTTTAAACTTTTTCATCCATCACTAAAGAGACAGTCTCATCTTATTGTTGGCACAATTTAATTATAATATCAACTTAATAAAAAGGACAATTAAAAATTTGAATCCTACACTTACTATATCTAACTATTCTTTGTGTGTCTATTCTAGGTCGAAGAAGCTGTGCTGGGGAAAACTTGGCTAAAATGGAATTGTTCCTGTTCTTTACAAGACTTATGCAAAAATTTACATTCCAGTCTCCACCTGGTGTAGAAATCGATCTCACCCCTGCATACGGCATCACTTTAAGCCCTTCTGTGCATAAGATCTGTGCTTTGCCACGTAACTAGGGCACATTTTTGATGATGACTGTTTGGATAAAAAAAAAAAAAACAACAGATTTCATAATAATCTAAAGAATAATCCACATATAATTAATCTGTGTAAATGTTTACCTCTATTTGTATTTTTTTTTTTTTTACTGGTATACAGACACTGTTTAAAGATATATAGCAACTGTATTTTTGTAATATTAGATTATAAAAATGTTAGTGCACATCAATTAAGTTCTTTTTTAAGTATAAAATTGACTCTGCATTTTAAAATGTAAGAAATGCCATGAGTTTGAAATATTTACCCCATTTTATGTTTATGTGGACATTGGTGGATGCATTTATCTCATGATGTGCCACAATGTGGAAGTGCTTCTTATGTAATACAATTTTCATCAGTTGTCCTCCTTGGACATCTCATAAAATTATCCTGATACAAATTAATTTTATTAAAATGTCACAGATATTGTAGTTTCTTTACAGAAAATTCAAAATATCTAGCACAATACTGGAAAATGAATAACATATCTGATGTAGGTCCCCTACTTATAAAGGAGGGGTGTTTAGAGTTCAAATATTGGTTTAGCAAGAAGAAATAAAGATATAGAGCTCAAAGCTATTCAATATCCTCTTCTGTTATATATCTCCTTCTTAGTCTAATCTCTGTTACAGAAAAATGTTGTATTTCTCCAACCTACTTACTTCACCTTTGCATTTTCCTCATCCCTCCTACCTACACACACTAGACTAAAATATTTTTTCTATTGGAGGTAGTTGGTTATTAGTACAGGGCATCTCTGGAAAATTAAAAAGTAAAATGTTTTGTACAGAAAATAAGCCAGATAAATAGATTTACAGACCACAAACGTCAGCTTTAATTCTTCTCTCAATTGCTGCCTTCTTTTCTGCTCCAAAGTAACTTTCAGGCTACTTCTGCATTTGCCTCCATGCCCCATGCTGCTTTCTGCTGCCGACTCTTTTCTTCTACTTGAGCCCTATGCCTCCTACTTCTTTTTTGCAGCACTTGCAGAAGGCCTTTTCTCACCGCCATCAGTCACTACAGAGTGGGCAGACTATTTCAATGTGTATCAGATTGCAGTGATCATGTTCCCTCTACTCCAGACAATTTAATCTACCTGGGGCCAAGATTCATGTGTTTTGTCCTGCCTCAATGGACATGCAGATTATTTAGGATGACAAATTTCATCCATAGTTTCCTTTTGCCTTGCCAGGCCCCATAATGGAGTATGGGTCTTTATCCCCTGATGGCATCTCTGTCTACAGTTACTTGTAAAACAGTCAATGATTGTCATTTAAAGTGACATTCCTATAGTTAATACAATGCTTTTGCAACTCAGTTCGGGGTAAACCTTGTCCTGTACTGAAACAAGGGTACATCTGACATGAGATATGTGTCAACCATAATCTATACAAGGTCCTCTATGTGGCATTAACATATCAAAAAGTACTATGAATATTATAACTATGTCAGTATTAAATAAGTCTTACATTATTCCTCACACCTCATTAACAGGCAGTTTTTACCTAAATACCCTAAAACATATGGTTCTCAAGCAGGATTGATAAAGAACAAGAGTGTCAAAACCAGGCATGGTCCACCTTTAGATGGCCTAAACAGTCACCAAATCTAATTGCAATTGCACAGTCTTAATTGTTTTATGGAAAACTGGAGTGAGGTCCTTTTACACTTCTGCCATTCTGGTACACTGTGAGATAAAACTGAGTGCTATCCTACCTATAGCACATATCATCACTCCCAATAAGAGTGCTACCGCAGTGTCCCACACCAAGCCAGGCCACAATTTCACCCCTACTGGTCTGTCAGAGTGTAATGATTCTTCTTCTTCACCATAAAATTACATAGGGATGTCAATATATCAGCGTAATCAATAGCTGTATTCTGCACAGTTAGTGAGTCTTAGGCTTGGTAACGTAGGAAATATTTCCTAAAAAAAATCTGGGGTGAAAAGGTGACCACTGTGTATATTAGTGTATATATAAATTAAATATATACTAAATTCCAGCAAACATAAATAATTTCCACTTTAAAAAAAAAAAAAAAAACATAAAAGAACTATGAGCCAATATAACTAATAAAGCATGCATTATATTTAATTGTTTATTTTCTTACCTAAAGTCCACCGTGTGGTGCTCCAGAACTCCACTACTTTTGTTAGAAAGCTGTAAGCTCCTGCTCAGCATTAGTTCTCCCCCCTAGTGGAATGTTGCTGTATTACTACTGACAATAAGGGTTCTGGTGTATTTAACCCCTTAAGGACCAAACTTCTGGAATAAAAGGGAATCATGACATGTCACACATGTCATGTGACTTTAAGGGGTTAAAATGTATTGCACAATTGTTACATGTCTTGATGTAAATGTGTGGCTCTACTAGCTGTTTTGTTGTTAACATCTGTTAAGATATTTTATTCTATTAAACATTTCCACATTTAATGGATGTACCTTTTACTTCCATATCCATATCCACTGCTATCTTTAATGAATTATTATAAATAGTCAAGTCGATCCAGTTTAATTACAAGTTGAGTCAAGTGAGTTTAAATGCAGAATACGTGAAATTAGTTTTTATGCTGTTTATAGTGTTTGCTTTATGTTGCTTCAACATGGTTTTTATTCCTAGGAAAGAATGTGTAACATTCTACAACAGGGAATGATTACTCAGCAATCAAGAAGTAAATAATCCTCTCACTTACTGGTTATAGGAAAGAACTTGTAGCTGACATAATGTTCAAAGTACGTGAACTGAGTTTAATATAGTATGTCTATGTCTAGTAGCAATATTGATCATTTTATAATTTACAGAGTAGATCATAAGAATATAATTCCAGTGGACATAGTAAAGACTAACACAATGAAAATTAAACAATAGTGAAGTAGGAAATGAAATTAGGTTCCCCAAGACCAAACTAGATAGGTCTTACACTAAAGTCTTGCTTTTCAAGCAATTTCGTTAGTAGGACTAGTTGACTGCTTCAATAATAAACTCTTGCACAATTTGCCAATGACTAGATTTGGAGGTTATTTTCGATTTGAAATGCAATTCTTTAAAATTTGAATCATTTGGGTGATCTTGTACATTCTTGAACTTTGAGCTGAAATATAGCTGAATCACGGACCAAATGAAACGCATAATTGACGCTCATCTTTGTTTTGATTTGTGATTCATATTTCTGGCTATGATACCAAAAAAAGAGTTAATAGAGTTTAAAAAACAGAGGTTTATTTATTTCCACACTTAAGTACTTGTGGGTGAATACCATAAGGCCCTGGAAATTTGTTCACGTTAATTTTCTTTTGTTGCTGCATCATTTTGTCATGAGTCATCCTTTCACAATTTTTTGCAACAATGATGTGCATATCTCATGCCACAGGACCCTCAATATATGCAGAGGAAAAATAGTTATTTAAAATTTCTGTATTTTACTGGTGTTCATTAACTAACACACCCATCTCAGTTTTCAGTGTACCTTAACTTTTTGGGGGGTAAAATTGTAATTAAAATGTTTTGGATTGGTTTTGCTCTGTTTGGCTATCACTTCCTCATTTTCTAATTTAGCTTTTTTGCATGCTTATTTGCTTCTTTATGTCTTATACAGGATACATTTGATTTGTCCATTAAATGTTTATAAAATATATATGCTTTAAATGCCATTTTCCTGTTTTTAATCTCTTGGTTTACTTTCCCACTAAGCCACATTGGTTTCTGTTTGTTCTTTTATATTTATTACCTAATGGTAAATACTGAGCAATGTATCTTTCTAATATTTGTTTAAAGATATTTGATTTATCCTCTGTTTTTTGTTCACTAAAGACAGGTTGTAAAGCTGCCCTTATCGTATAAAAATAGTTCTTAAAAATCGTAAAAATCTTAAAATTAGGTTTTAGTATACCCTATGTGCTTTTACTTTTTTCAAGTTTATATCAAAAGACACCATATTGTGATCACGATTTCCCATGTGCTCCCCTACTTGAATGTTGGTCAAAAATTAAACATTGTTATAACTAGATCTAGACAAGCATCCTTTCTAGTTGGTACTTGTACAAGTTGTGACATGTGTTGGGTGTCAGTTCTATTAGCATATATGTATGCATGCTATTGACTTAGGACTAGTGATGTCCCGAACGGTTCGCCGAACGGTTCGCGAACGGTTTGCCGCGAACGGTTCGCCACGGACTCATCATTGCGTAAACTTTGACCCTGTACCTCACATTCAGCAGACTCATTCCAGCCTGGACAGCATCCATTTTGAAGCTGCATTCTTAGTGAGCTGTCCAGGAGGTGGGAGGGTCTGGGAGGGAGGGTCTGCTGCTGATTGGCTGGAATGTGTCTGCTGACTGTGAGGTACAGGGTCAAAGTTTACTCAATGATGAGTCCGCGGCAAACTGTTTGTGGCGAACCATTCACGAACCGTTCGGCGAACTGTTCGGGACATCACTACTTAGGACACTTACATAGGGCGTATTTTATTGAGCATTGTTGGTTTCATATTGTGGGTTATTATCACACAGTAGCTGCTTTAGTCATTTTTTTCATAGTGGTTTAGTCTCCCCATTGATGTGGCGCCTCTTTGCAGCGACGGCTGGTCCGGCTGTTTGGTATTCTGCGCATGCGCATGCCGGTCTTTTTGCATATTGCAGCATTGCGCTTGTGCGGCTCTTTTGGTACTCGCGCGCTTTAACTAAAACTGTTTCTGTCCTAGGGCTGTGTGGAGCTTCTGTTGGTATTGTACTATTTGCTGTTGTATTTGCCCTTGCTACTGTCATTTTGTTTTCTGATTTTTGTATTATTTGTGAGGTACTATTTATGTACATAATAAATTGCATTTTTTACTCATAAGTGATTGTAGTGTGCTTTCTGTAGTTCATGGATGTTTGGATATTTTGAACACCTGAGGGAGTGTTTATATGGTTTGAACCTAGCCTTGTTTATGTGTTTTGTGTCTCCATGTGCTTCTTATTTGCAAATGAAGGTGGCATTTAACATGGTCAAAAATCTGATTCCCCTTGTTGAACTACTAGTCCCATTATCCAATATATGTCTGTGTAACAAAAATCTCTAATAATTAACTTGTATCCCAGGTGTGCAGCTTTTCCAATTTGCTCTAACAGACTTTCTTCCACGTAATTATTATCATTAGGTGGTCTATAACGTAGCCAAACCAATAATTGATTTCACTTCTTTTGTCCAATTACATATTCCATGCTTCTGCCATACTGTAGAGCACTCTCCTCAATCAGAGCCATTCCTCAAGGGCATCTCCACAGAATGCACAAAGCTTGGTTTTCTTCTTGGTTTTAGTTCAAGCGTTTATACAGGCATATGATGGTAAAGTCAGAAACAAGACAGAGTCAAAATTGTGCACACAGTAGTTTCCTGAAACTTAGAAGACAGAAAACAGCATGCCATTGTACTGTGATTGGATGCTAGGTGGAATTGAGTGGATCATTTTTTTTGTAGTCTTTTTAAGCCTATCTCAATGTGATGCAGATAAAGGACCAGTGCACACATACAAATACAGGTTATTTAAAATCACCTATCTCTGCAAACAAATATAGGGAAAAGCATGTTTTGGGTGTGCCCTCAATTCCCATTTTTGTCTTTACTATCTCAATGAAATGATCTGCAGCCTCACTGCCAACATACTGCCTTTTGCATCCACGATCCTTGAAAGACTTGTGTATGCGAGATTGACAGACTTCCTCAAATCCAATGCTCTGCTCGACCCACTTCAGTCTGGTTTCCGTGCTCAGCACTCTGTGGAAACGGCTCTGACCAAAGTATCAAATGATCTACTCGCTGCAAAATCTTATGGTCACTACTCTATCCTAATTCTCCTTTACCTTTCCGCTGCTTTTGATACTGTTGACCATCAACAGCTTCTTCTCATCCTCCGTAATCTCAGTCTACGAGATATTGCTCTCTCCTGGTGCTCCTCCTACCTCACCAAGCACTTTTTTAGTGTTTCTTTCTCTGGCTCTGCCTCTTCCACCAAACCTTTGTCTGTTGGTATCCCCCAAGGTTCAGTCCTAGGTCCCCTACTTTTCTCGATCAATACTGCTTCCTTTGTTAAACGCATCAGCTCCTTTGGCTTTCAATATCACTTCTATGTGGATGACACACAAATCTATCTGTCCTCCCCTGATCTATCCCGCCCCTTTTGACTAGTGTCTCTGACAGCCTCTCTGCTATTTCTAAGCCTCTCCTTCACCCCTCATGTCCAGTCAATCAACAAATCCTGACGCTTCCATCTCAAAAGCAATGTGCACATCCGGCAGTAGTCTCGCCTCAACTACTGCAATCCATTTCTTAGTGGTCTTACATGTTCCCAACTTGCCCCATTGCGGTCTATAATGAATGCAGCGGTGAGGCTCATCTTCCTGTCCGCCTGCACCTCCCACGCCTCACCCCTCTGTCAGTCCCTGCATTGGCTTCCCGTAAGAGATGGGGCTCAATGATAAAATATTGGTTCTTGCTTTCAAATCTCTACATAATGCTGCTCTCACCTATCTATCCTCCCTGACACACAAGTATGTCCCATCTGGGCCCCTATGCTCTGCCGAAGACCTACGTCTATCCTCTGTTCATACTTCCAACTCTGATGCTCACATTCAAGACTTCTTCAAAACTGCACTGTTCCTGTGGAATTCTCTTCCATTTTCAGTTAGACACTCACCCAGTCTCCACTCCTTCAAAAAATAATTTAAAACTCACTTTTTCACAAAAGCATATCAATTAAACTGTTAATGGCTCCAAAAAGCCCACACTAAGTCTTCATTGAATACTATTCTACCAGTCTACTTCCCTAATACTTCTCATATCTTTTGTGTCACTTTAACCCACTCCCTCTAGCATGTAAGCTCATTGAGCAGGGCCCTTAACCCCTCTGTTTCTGTGTCAAACTTGCCTGGTTACAATTTCATGTTTATTAGTCCACCCATTGTAAAGCACTATGGAATTTGTTGGCGCTATATAAATATAATAATAATGATAATAATATCTAATCCTGCTTAGTAAGATGTACATATATATGAGCACATTTAATGATTAAGCACTTCCACTGGAAGGCTTATCTATGGATTTGCAATCCTTTGCATAATGTATCAAAGTATTATTATTTTTAGGTATGCTCTTTTTAACATCATTAAACACAATTCACCTTTGTACAAATGCACAAAGCCTTATCTTTTCACTTTAGCCTTGATTGTATCATGTTAATAATTGATTAATTTGCAACTAAATTGATCATTTAAAAAAAAAAGTGTTTTGTATATATTGCCCCATTTAGCAGTTTGTGTACATATACTATAAATCTGAGTATTTGTAACAGTGCTGCAAATAAATAACATTCATAAATATGTAACAAACATTTTTCCCGCCCCATTTTCTATAATCATCTTATATATATCCTCTTATATTTATATATTTTTGTGGTTGGGGTCAAAGACCGAGGTATAAAATAAAGTTTAAGTTATACCAGTAGTAGCAAGTCGGTTGAGATGTGCCAAAACTAATTAACGGGGTAGTTGAAAAAGAACAAACTAACTGTCCTAGCTAGGAGTAGAGATCATATTAAATGGTAACTTTGATTATATACAAAGTGGAAATAAAACAAAACTAAAGAAACCAAATATGTAAGAGGGGATAAAAATGGTAATGGTGATAAGTCACTCAGTAAATATAGTTAATACATATCAGTATTGGATGTACGGATAGTGGTAAGAACCATATAATAATAACAGAATGCAATAGTCGGTAGCTGCTGTTAGCAACTATGTTAGTTGTGTGAGATTGCAACACTGTATCGAAGTATCAGTAAAAGCCCTTAGAGAAGAGCGTGTAGCAAATCAACCAGTGAGAGAAATGTAGTTGCAACTGTCACTCAACTCAACAGAGGCATGGAAAATGAACGACGGGGATATTGCCAAAATGGTGAATTGCAAAGATTGCCTAGAAAATCATGTAGGTAGTGTTCCTATGGCAAAACCCAGATGTCCATTTTGTACAATAGCCTGATGAAAAATGAGTGCATCACAAAATAAAGTAGTATATACATATATACAGTAGTGATGTCGCGAATCCGAAATTTTCGGTTCGCAAACGGCGAACGCGAACTTCCGCAAATGTTCGCGAACCGGCGAACCGCCCGAACCGCCATTGACTTCAATGGGCAGGCGAATTTTAAAACACACAGGGACTCTTTCTGGCCACAATAGTGATGGAAAAGTTGTTTCAAGGGGACTAACACCTGGACTGTGGCATGCCGGAGGGGGATCCATGGCAAAACTCCCATGGAAAATTACACAGTTGATACAGAATCTGGTTTTAATCCATAAAGGGCAGAAATCACCTAACATTCCTAAATCACAATCAATATGGATTGACACCTGACATATGACATATTGACACCTTGACATATGGATTGACACCTGTCCTTAGAGCCCCTGATGCACACGGACACAGAGCAGAATAGAGACTGGTTCCCCCTACATAGGGTCACTTGGCAGATATGGATTGACACCTGTCCTCAGAGACCATGATACACACTGACACAGAGCAGAATAGAGACTGTTCCCCTACATAGGGTCACTTGGCAGATATGGATTGACACCTGTCCTCAGAGACCATGATACACACTGACACAGAGCAGAATAGAGACTGTTCCCCTACATAGGGTCACTTGGCAGATATGGATTGACACCTGTCCTCAGAGACCATGATACACTGACACAGAGCAGAATAGAGACTGTTCCCCTACATAGGGTCACTTGGCAGATATGGAGTGACACC